CCAGGACATGGTTAAACCGTACACCCCAGCGCGTGCACTACGCTCTGCATCAGCCAAACGACTCGTTGCGCCCTCGCTGCGAGGGGGACCCAAGTTCCCATCGGCGAAAACACGTGGGTTTGCTGTCCTGGCTCCAAGATGGTGGAATGAGCTCCCCATTGACATCAGGACGGCAGATAGCTTGCACATCTTCCGGCGCAAACTGAAAACTCATCTCTTTCGACTCCACTTCGAGCGTTAGAACTATTAACGAAGCACTTTTATACTAATAAAGGACTGGCTTACCTAAAGCCAGTTGAGTAGCACTTGAAATGTTTGGCTCTATGAAACCTGATGTACTTATATGATTCTGTTTTCTTCAAGGTTGTGTCTTCCTGGTCGAATGTACTTATTGTAAGTCGCTTTGGATAAAAGCGTCAGCTAAATGCAATGTAATGTAATGTAAAAAAGTGCTGGTGTGAAAGCCGCAGCTGACAGCCAAATGAGTGCCGCATCCAGCACAGTATATGACATTTATTCTGCAGTAACATCCTTTAGGTAGTCTACAGCATTGTCTATGTCTAGCCAAACTAACCACTCTTTACAGAGCCTTGTGGTCCTATTAGGTTGGCTGGAACTACTATGCTAATGCCGTATTAAAGACATTTTAAATGAATGAACAAGTGGAAGACAAATTAAAGGAAAAACCTGATTGAAATGAACTCTTCCAGAATAACAATGCCTCAATTTACAGGGCATGAGGTGGTTTGATAGTTATGAAAAATGATGTCAAATTAAACACCTATGGGAAATATTGGACTGACATGTCAGGAAGTGCCTTGCAGCATCATCATTAAATCAACAAATGAAGGAAGATTTATTGAAAGGATAGCGAGAGGCTACAGTATGTAAAGTTACTTTAAAGCTACTCTTATTTTAACATATATTTTCTATAGGAAATGTAATACATAGCCTACTGTATACAGTGTTTGAACATATGAACTTATCTTCTTTCAAGCTTTTTTTCCAATGGTATCACATCTCCAGTGTATGCTCTTGTTCTCCAGGTACTTGTGCATGTCTCGGTACTTTGCATTTTTCCTTTGTTCTATCTTTGTTTGTATTCCTGTATTTTTGTTCTACCCTGGAATCACTCGGTCCATTACCATCAAACCTCTTACCCAGTAAGCATGATGAGAGAAAGCTTTTCTGACCACCCAAATGAAGACACAAGGTTCCTGTGAACAATAAGGGCCTGCAAACATGAATAGAACTCCTTTGGTATTACAGTATAATATTTAGATAATTCAGCAAGAGGTTTGATCAGATAAAAGGGCTGGACAATATACAATATTTATCTAATGGTTATTCTATTACATTAAATATGTAATACTGCCATTTATGGGGACATCTAATTCAGGCAGGAAGTCATAAATGTATTCAAGTACTTTCTTTGCCCTCAACTCTATGACAGTCTCTGAATTATTACTGATCACACAGATAAGAAGTACTTTCAATAATCTCTCAAAATGTCACTGATGGTTGCTTGATTAAAAAAAGTCTTGATGTTTAAAATATCAAAATCTTTACTTCGCTAAGGTCTGCATGGTTTTTAGATTTTGAAGAATCTACCGTATGTTCTGTATATTTCAGCGAATTTCAAATAAATGATATATGATTTGAATCAATAACAGTCACTTGTCAAACCATACTGATATTTGTCATACTATGCTTTCTCTTTCAGGATGTTTTTTATTCTGTTTTTCACAGTATGAACTGGCAGACATGCTTGCAACAGATAATCAATTTCAGTCAACATCTTGTCTTCCTGATTTATGTCAAAGTTACGTCATTGTTGCTCGCTGCAGACTTTTAATAAAAAATCAATCTGCTATTAAAACTGCATTACTGTGAATCATCAGTTGGGATGTGCTGTCTTTCCCAAGACCTTCAGAGAAATTGAGGGTTATATAATAAGAGATGATGCATTCGTAAAGGTCTTTAATAATTTAGCAATAGGGGTGTAACAGGATCCGTATTTGTCCCGTATCGTCACGGTTCGGACGTCACGGTTCGGTGCATGCAGTCACAAGACGAATACGTCTTTTTTTTACGAGTGGGAAAGTCTGTCATTCAGGGCAGTATCCACTACAATATATGTTATCCAGGGGGCGGTATTGCGCCTAAAAGCTGTTTGCCAGCCGCCCTTAAACAACAAATGAAGAAGAAGAAAAAACAACAAAACGAACAAAATACAAGAAGAAGAAAAGTTAGTATAGAGTGGCGAAGTCACGCCCATCTACTTCCGGTCCGTGGGAGCTTATTTCGGAAAAATAATGTATTGAAGTCAATGGAGAGAGAAAACGTATCTTTCGATCCCGTTTGAATTGTGCCATGAATTACACATATGATGTTTGTCAATCTTAAAAAATAATTTCCATGTCAAAAAAGTCACAGTTTGTCGTAAAACTGTTAAGACTATGAAAAATACGCAACTAGAAAGACTACAAATCCCAGAGTCGCGTAAGTGATGTCACAATTGTTTTCCTCCACTAAGAGATAGCTAAGATCAGTGCCATATAGATATAATCTATCTATATGGCTGGCTAAGATAAAATAACTTTAACAAGATGCCTGTGTGCTTAGTACCAGGTTGTTATCATACCAGCAATGGGGCTTGCTCGTTCTTTCGCTTCCCGTCTGATGAAAGGACCAGGAGTGGCTGGATCAAGTTAGCTACCTAGCTAGTAGCTAGCACGTTAGTTAGCATTACAGCCTTGTCATTTTTATTAGCCTTAATATGAAGTAACATTAAGTAACCCAAAATGTAAGAGTAGTAGTCATATTTCATGAACCCTTTGAAGAGTACTGTCACCGGTGTGATCATTCTATAATACACCATTTAATTAAGCCCGGGGGAGAAATGCTAACGCTAGCATCGGTGATCGCCGATCTTTTCTACTTCACGCTATCTGCACAAATGTTTGACAGTAAACATTAAAAAGACCATGCAGTTCAGAGAGAATCAAAGGAAGGCAGGCAGGCAGCTTTGCATGACATTCTTCTGGACGTGTTTCATTGTAGTGATAGTGAGGGTAGTCAATCGTTTTGTTGACAAGACAGTAGTGACGGCCATCTTGGTGACGTGTGTTGTTCTGCGAGACCAGAGATGTAGTTCATTGAGCGTTTCACACAAACAAATGTGTTACTTCACAGTTTTACGACACATTTATTTATTTTTGACTTGCAAAATTATCTTTTAAATTGACAAACATCATATGTTTAATTAGTGGCACAATTAAAACGGGATCGAAAGATAATCTTTCTCTCTTCATTGACTTCAATACATATTTTTTTCGAAATAAGGTCCCATGGAGGTCCCCCGGAAGGGGAGGGACTTCACCACTCTATTGCGAGTTCCAGTGTTGGGTAAGTTACTTCCAAAATGTAATATATTACTTATTACTGTCTTTCTAAAGTAATAAGTTACATTATAATATTACTGTCTCTGAAATGTAATGAGTTACACTACTTTTATATTACTTTTGAGTTACTTTCACCAAGATAACCGCAAAATAATGGCTAGGTATTTTAAATGTTAAAATGTAGTTTAGTGCAGCTCATTATACATCCAGTGAAGGGCAATGTGGTATAGCATAACAACTGTGTAGGCCATTAAGGCTACTAACAACTTTTATTACACGGCTTAGTTGAATACTCGATTCTGATTGTAAATTCTTAACATGTGACACGTTAATACAGTACAGACCACTGTCAAGGACTATAATGAAGGTTGCTAAGGAGGATCAAGAAAGAGAAAGGAAAAGAGGTTAAAAGACAGAGTGCTGGACGTCAGATAAATCACCAGAAGAAGGCAGACAGGAAGTAAACAATAACAGGAACACGGAATGGGCTCTGTATTTTGTTTAGTATATGGCCATGTACAGGCCCGGTTCCAGAACAAAATGACTCAGGGTGCATCTGAGATTACAGGGGGTGCAGCAGTAGTAGGTTTACATGAGCAATAGTGGCCGGCAACAGCAATGAAAAATAGCTTTGATGTTATGGTCCCCAATGAACAGATTATGGCATTTGTTATGTTTTGAAACCAAGCAAGTTAAAACCGTTTTGTTTTTTATTTATGTGTCACAGTATCACCTCAAAATACAAGATACGAAACATTTTCAACCATGCAACAAAATATAAATAGTCCTACAAATACTTTTATTTTATTTCCTTCTAACTTTTGTCTAAACTCAAGGGAGCCAGAGCAGAGGGCTTAAAGAGCCGCATGCGGCTCGAGAGCCGCGGGTTGCCGACCCCTGGCTCAGGTAAACTGCGATCCGCCCAGGGTCTATCTAGCTTAGATAGATTTTAAACTGCAAATTGTTTTCACTAACAGTACCACACACACTCAGATGGCCATATTATCTATAATGGCATTGGCTGATGCCAAACAAAAAGGTTCAATAAGCTGTAAAACTAAAAAGAATGTCTTGAAAATATTACAAAATAAATAATAAGATAGTGTTTCAATCACTTTCAATTACAATCAATAAAAGCCGGGGTCCTCTACTATTGCATAAGGGCGCAGCATAGCCATTGAAAAACATATGCCAAAAGCTTCCGTTATTTATTTTGGTCTCTCGGCTGTCATGTCTATTGGCTTCTTAAAAACAGCGGGGATAAGCTGTTGAACTGCTGTTGTCTTTTGCCGTGCTCCGGTGATTGCCAAATCTGGCTGATGCCTTCTAATATGATTTAGCATGTTTGGCTTGTGTTACCATTAGTATACCGCACCACTGTCGAACAACGCCGGCACACCGTCCTCGTCCGATCCACCACTCGCACTCCATCGTTATTGTAGTCCACAGGGAACCCGAAATGTTCCCACACAGCTGATTTAAAAGAAGAAGGTGGTTCTTCTAGCTCCTGTGTGTTATATAAACTCGCAATAGCTTGGTTTCAGTCACGTGACTTCTACGACGCGCGAAATTCAAGTGGAGGTCAGGAAGTGAAAACGCAATCATTCATCAACGCAGGAATCATGGAGGACACCGACTATGTCAAACAATTAAATGAACCCGCACGCCGCAGATATCGTGAAAAAATCACAGCACACATCGGATACGATCCGTATCAGCTGAAAAAGAGCGACTTTTCTCGTGATTTATCAGATTTGCCCGCTGTTGAGGCGATGGATATCACCAGCTACCTCGTCCTTCATACCTCCTACTACACGGCTAGCCAAATGAAAGCGTATAAAAGCATGGAAGCTTTCAACTACTTTGTGTGTGGATGGGTGAATGACCTCGGCACCAAAACGGCATTAAACAAATGTCGCCTTGTTTTTGCCCGGGTGAGTGTTAACTACCTATACCTTCTTACCTCTAAGTAGCATTATTAGGAGACATCTAGCTAGCTAACTTTAGCTACATGGACTCATGTAAGGCAGTGTTACGGCTGTCGCCTTGCCTTCAGCATTAACTGGCCTGTGAGTGTTCTGTGTGTGTGTGTATATATGTGTATGTGTGTTATGATTACATGTAGGTACTATGGTTACCGCGTCGGCAACGTTGTTTCGTTCCTCTTGATGACGCTACTTAAGCTGCGACGTTATTGACATTCGGGGCGCTGGATCTGTGCTAAGACGCCATGCTACCATACCTCAGAATGTTTGTGTGTTATTGGTGCTTATGTGTGTGTCCTTACGATATTGTTAACAGAGGTTAACTCGGGTGCTTATGATGTGTGTTTCCTTACGATATTGTTAACAGAGGTTAACTCGGGTGCTTATGGTGTGTGTGTGTACTTAGGATATTGATGTGAGTGTATGTGTTTAGCTTAGGATATATTGTGTTTTGGTGACGGCGTTGTACTTGTGCGAAACGTCTCACCAGTTCTGTCTTAAGTGTCCTGATTCGTGACTGTGATATTCTGTGGCGTTCGTTTTTGTGTACTGTTGTGTATAGACAGCTCAGAGCCTTTGAACAGCCTGCACGTTGTTTATATCACTCTATGTTGAGGTTAATATTAAAAACAACCTCTTTACCAAGACCATCTGGTTATGTGTTGCTTCCCTTTTACCCCGAAACGAGCTGTAACTTAACTATACTAGCTAGCTATGGCTTGATGTTGTTAAATGTATGTTACTAACTAGCAAGTTGTTAACTGGAGCTTCAATTTTGTAGGTCAACCATTCCCAGAGGTCTGGAGAAACACCATTAAAAACGTGGATTGTAGCTAAAGAAGATGGAGAGGTTGTTACAGCACACTGTAACTGTATGGCTGGGTAAGTCATAAAATAAATATCCCAACCCAAAGCATATTTGACACAACACTTAAGCTCAGACAAAATAATGCCTGCTATAATATTCATGTTATACCATTATTAGCTTTTACGATCAATCTAGTTATTCTAGTATGTCTCTGTCTATACAGTTTGTCAGAATCCTGCTCACATGTCGGAGCAGTTCTGTTTGCAATCAAAGCAGGTGTGAAGATGAGAGAGACTGCATCCTGCACCACTGAGAAGTGCAAGTGGCTAATGCCATCACATGTCAAAAAGGTATTCAGACCCCAGTGGTCAGTCAGCTGTTCATGCCGTCCTTGCCTGTCTCATTGTTACACTGCACCTACATGTATGTTCACATACATGTTGGTCTGTCTCTCACATGTGCAGATTCCTGCTGCTCCAGTTGCGATGATAGACTTTTCATCCGCAAAATCCAAAAAGCAAAACCTGGATGATGCCATTGCTGGAAGGACAGGTGAGAAGCACACATTTCAGCGTCCCACAGTCCAGGGTTCAAAATTGGAGCGAGGATCAGAGAGGTATATGCAGTTTTTCAAGACTTTGAGCAGAAATTCCCCAAGAAGTGCTGCACTGATGTCCAGGGAACCATATTACAGAGAATTTGTCCCTAAATCTGTGAGCAAGCACCCTAAACCACTACCTCAGTATAGGACACAAGAGATGCTACAGCTATCCCCAACAGAGTTGCAGAATGCATGCCAGGACTTCAGACAGGAAGAGCTGACACAGCCACAGGTCCAGGTAGTAGAGGAGGAGACCAGAAACCAGAGCTTATCACCAATATGGTTTAGCCAAAGAGCAGGAAGGATCACAGCCTCAAGACTGAAGCAGGTTCTACAGACTAGTCTTGCACAGCCATCAAAGTCCTTGATCAAGTCCATATGCTACCCAGAGGCACACAAGTTCTCTACAGCTGCAACAAGGTATTTATTAGGGATTAGGGAGCCAATCAGAATGGAGTATTCACCCAGACCATGGTATAATTAAGCAATAGCTCACGACAAGCTGTGGCATTTGTTCATTATATCACAGCTAAGGGGCGTGGTTCGGCCTGACGCGAAGCGTCTGGACCGCTGCGTAAAAAGGAGGGTTTCTGCCCCGTTACTTCTCCGCTGCTTCCTTGTTCCAGTTTGAAAAGCAAACTGCAGGCAGTTTGCTTTTCAACGCAACTGTATACAGTTTTTCTCAGACGCGGAGGGATACCGACTTGTTGTGAAAAGTAACTTACAATTCTACCCGTGGTATACGCTGATTATATCACGGCTAAGAACCAATCAGATTGCTTGATTTGACTTGTCCGTTTTATAATGTACAATGTTCTATTTCTGTTCCTTGTTGTATACATTACAGGTATGGATGCAAATACGAGGCAACTGCCCGAAAGCAGTATGAAGGAGTACAAAGTCTGCACCACCAGGGTTTCAGCTGTAAAGACAGCGGGCTTTGGCTGAACCCTCAATGGCCATACATGGGAGCGTCGCCAGACGGAAGTGTCACGTGCACCTGCCATGGAACTGGTATCTGTGAGATAAAGGTAAGTTATTTGTTCAGTATTGTGCTACAGTAAAGTGGGTAAGTATAGGATTGTGATGTGATCCTGAGTCTGGGGATCCTCTCCCAATACATTTTGAGCTGCAGACACTTATTTACAGTACAATATATTGCTTTACTTTTCATTGAACTTTTAGTGCCCACACAGCAAACAAGAGGAGGCCAATCTTCGCCTGTGTGCTGGAGAACAGGGCTTCTGTCTCGTCAACGATGGGGGCACTGTGAAGCTGGACAGGAGACATGCCTACTACCATCAAGTACAGGCTCAGCTCCACGTCGTTGACGTTGACTACTGCGACTTTGTTGTCTGGACTAAAAATGACCTCTTTGTAGAGAGAATTGTGCGTGATGTGGACCTGTGGGACAACATCATTCCCAGAGTTGAGAGTTTCTTCAGACTATGTGTTCTCTCTGAAGTGTTGGGACAGCAACTTACAAGGGGAAAGGTAAAAGTAATAAAGAGTTGGTGTGCTCATTTTTTTCCACAAGAACATGATAGTGCATAACTATCAGGTGACTAAAAGCCTCCTCTCCCTGTTCCATTTTTCAGTTTCAGTTGCAAGATGATCAGGAGGGAGAGAAGGCGTGATTACCAGCACCTGTGGTCTGTCCTGGTCCCGGAAGTTGTGGTTCTCTCCTTGTTGCATTATTATTTGCACAGTGGCAGCTCTTTAACCTGCATTACAGCACCTTCATATTTACTGACCACACTCACTAGAGGAAGTAGGGCTGTGTGATATATTGCTATTGTAAAAAATATGTTTACTGAAAAGATTAAATGATACTAAGAAGACTGAATAATACATGGTTTCTTATTTACATTTACAATAACCCTCAATGGCCATACATGGGAATGTCACCAGACCAATTGTCATCTCTAGAATATTGTTGAATGAATTAAGCCTGAATCTAGATGAAAGTTGTATATTGAGTAGGGCTACACAATTTACAACACACAAAAAGATGTTTACTGAAAAGATTAAATTATACTGAATAATACATGGTTTCTTATTTACAAGACTACAGCTCCATGACTTTACTCCAATGGGACGACAGACACTGACAGATTAGACAAGGCACAGCAAATAACCCCAATCTTGTAAATTAATGCTAGTGCCTCACCTGGTTTTGTTAGCATGTGCTCTATGGGCACAGCCCTGCTTTGCAGAATCTGATATTTTCTTCTGACTAATCCTATGACTCTTTCGACATGAATACGCACATTAGCTATTTTTCTTGTCTCTTCCACCTCGTATGCTGACAGCTGACTTTTCCCCCTGGTGAATGCAGGCATCTTTAGTGAAGCACAGTAAAATCCCACACTATCGCCAATATCGAACCCACGGTCTGCTAGGACAATATCTCCAGGTAACAGGTTTTTTAGGAGCCCACTCTGTATTGTGATCTGTTTATCACTAACTCTTCCTCCCCAGGCACAAGATATGTAAGTGACATAGCCTTGGGGAGCAACACCAATCAGAAATGTAACAGTATGGTGATGCTTGTAGTTGGACCATGTTTGTGCTCTAGCTAGTAAATTAGAGGGCCTCTCAATAAAAACTTCAAAACAGTCAACAATCACAGCAACTCTACATCCAAATGCCTGTCTGAATCCCATTGGCATTGTAGCTTGAAGTACATGTCGCTCTGGCCACTCAATTATAAATTCTGTACTCTCGTGAAGTATGTCAATTAACTTATGCCAAATTCTAGAAGCAGTGGAGAGAGAGATGTTGAACCTGAAAGCCAAATCTTTCAGAGGGAGATTTAGTCTCAGCCTCAGCAAAACTAAAATGAACTGTTCAAATGTGGAGAGCACAGACATAGGGCTACAGGTGATGTAGGGCTCGCACAGTTGAAAAACCTGAAGTAAAACTAAGAAGTTGGGGAGCCCGGTGTAAAACTTTGTCTTCTCTTCGTTTTTCTCAAAGGACTCCTGGTTGAACTTTGTGTCCAGTGCCTTTGTCCGAAGATCTCCCAGCTCTGTTGTGTTCTGTCTCAGAACATCCTCCATCCTCTCGATGTCCTCCATCGTTAAATCAGTCTGGCATCCTGCATCTGCATACAATATAGCAGTAGCAAGCATAATTAGTTATTTAAAATAGTCAAATGTGAATTGTTGTGAAGTTATCTTTTTGACAACCTTTTTACAGACATGCAAGTTCTCTGTTCCAATTATTGCAGATTCTCAAGTTAGTACTCTATTTTCTAAACCTAAACCTAATTCAAAGTTTGCATAGATTTTTTGACAATCACATTTGTAATATTTAATAATAATGCTGGTGGTTAATTTACCTTGTTGGTCATTTAATATCCCACTGGTGTCCTCTGGTTGTGGGCTGTCAGACGGGGGCTGCGTCGGTTCTGGGCTCTCGGTTGTCTGCAGGAGATCCAACAAAGCCTCTGCACATTCTGATTGTCTTTGTTGGTCTTCCTTGAGCTCCATCCTCTGCTCTCGTCGAAGAGATGCCTCTGATCTGGGCTTACTTGTTGTGTGGTGACCGAGGCTAACAGTGGGAGCTCAGTCTACCGACTCAACGTCACCCAAAGCGCTAGGGCACCCTAAAAAGTCCCAACAAAGTCCATATTAGACTACAGGTAACTTAAACATGATCAGTATTACTAGGTAAATAAGCATTTAACCACAACCCAATAATACCTAAACAAAGCCACAAAAACCAAGTTAGCTAATACCTCTGATGAAGTGGTCGCTGCAGACACGTGCATTAGACGACTCTGCTCCTCCCGACCGCAGATGTAGGTTTGAAAGCCATTTTTTCCGGCGTTCTTCGGTTAGCTTCTTAAATTGCTTAAATGGACGACAACCTTCGGCACTCGGTAAAACCTCTTGTTTTTCTCTCGGCCGGATCGATTGGAACAACCGTAAACTACACAACACACCGGCATTTTCACAATGGTAACAGCAGCTAGATCCTCTGTAGAAAATTACTTCCTGACCTCCAATGGAATTACGCGTCAAAGGAACGCAGCGGTGTGACGTCAAGTGAAAACCAAGCTATACTAACTTTTCCTCTTCTTGTATTTTGTTCGTTTTGTCGTGCTTTTAGGCGCAATACCGCCCCCTGGATTATATATAGTGTGGTAGATACTGCCCTGAATGACTCGTAATTCCACTCGTAAAAAAAAAGGCGTATGTTTGGTCTACCTATGTTGTAAACAGGGGCGGCGCCAGGGGGGAGCTAGGGGGTGCTGAAGCACCCCCCAGGATTTCCAAAGCACCCCCAAGAAAAATATGTATTTTTTTTTTTTTTCCGGAAATTATTATTATTATTTTTATTAAATAAAATTAGAAGAATTATTGATTACCACAATGCAAATCTGAAACAAACACATTTTTGACCAAAAACATAAAGCCAACACAGGTGATATGATTAGGCCAATGGCCAGCACCCATTAGATTTTTGACCTACCCATAGGCTAAATTACTTAAATCACTTGAGTGATTTCCTGTTAGCTAGAGTGCCAAATTATTTTCTAACAGCAAATTAAAAAATTGATCGTTTTTTAGTCCTTAAACGTCCACGTGTGGACACTCAATCAAAATCACCTGAAAGCGAGAGGGATTCTGCACACAATAGGCCTCGTGAGTACAAGTAGCTTACTTCTGGGTCTCTGTGTTTCATTCAAGCTCTGCTCTGTGTGTGTGTGGCACGAGCCATTTTGTGTGCATGCGCGAGCGAGAGAGAGCTCGCGCACCGGTGGATATCTACCGGAGATCGTTGTGGTTAGCGTCTGGTGCTAGCTAGCCAAGCTAACGGATATAAGGAGCTTTTTCAACAACAAGGTGGAGGGAGAACTCTCTCCTGTCAGACTGAGAGTCTCAGATAACCTCAGCTCAGGTGAAGTAAAGGACTCTCTCAGTGTTTAGATAGTTAACTTTAGTCTAGTTATCTCAGTGGGTCTCAAATGGTTTGTTTTAAAAGGGGAGTGATTTGTAAAATATCTATAAAGAAATAGAAAATCTGTTGACAGTTCTGTTTCATATGGGTGTTGAGAGATGTATCCATAGTAGATCTCTTAATGTTGCTCTCAAAGTGCACCAGATTGATGCTTTTAACTTCAATATTTAAAAAAAATCTTCCCGGGTGAGCATGCCCCCGGACCCCACTAGAGGAGGTGAGGACCCTCCTAGAGGAGGTGAGGTCCACCCCCCACTTGTAAAAAACTTTACCCCTGCTTACACCTATATGCCGTGAGCTGATTATCGAGCCTTCATTGTAACAGTCGCGGCCCGCGGGTACACTGTGTGCGTGTGGGGAGTGTTGCAGTAGAAAATGCAACTGTGCTGCGCTGGTGCATTAATGGGAAACCCTTAATGTTTGAGCACCCTCTATGAAACGTCAAGCTACCCCACAGCACCCCCAAGAGAAAATCTCTGGCGCCGCCACTGGTTGTAAATGTATTATCTTTTCGATTTACACGAGGCATCTATTGCACGTCTGTCCGTCCTGGGAGAGGGATCCCTCCTCTGTTGCTCTCCCTGAGGTTTCTCCCATTTTCCCCTTTAAACTGCGGGGTTTTCTCTGGAAGTTTTTCCTTGTACTATGTGAGGGTCTAAGGACAGAGGGTGTCGTATTGTCATACTGATATTCTGTACACACTGTGAAGACCACTGAGACAAATGTAACATTTGTGATATTGGGCTATATAAATAAACATTGATTGATTGATTGATATTCGTCGTGTGACTGCATGCACCGAACCGTGACGTTCGAAGCGTGACGGTACGGGACTTATACGGATACCGTTACACCCCTACTGTGTAGTCTTATGTTAATGCAGACTTTATTCAAATGTTCTTCAAAAGGCTTTTCGTCTAGAATTATACACACCAATGTGTACTTTTCTGAGTGCTTCCAGATGACCTGCCAACAACTGTGGATTGAAGTGCCACAGACTGTCTTTTAGGACATATTCATTACAAGGTGTGGAATGTTGAGGAAGAAAGAGAAGACAGGCTAGGTCAGACTAGTGCTATGCAAGGATCCATCTTTCGGAAAGAGCTATGAGAGGACTTAGTGTGAAACCTCCTACACCGCTCTGCATGGAGGACTTTGATTACACGTTGAAAAGCTCCAGTAATGAGTCGCGCAGGTTTCACTATCTTCTGTTTGAAGCAGTTAAGTTTCCGAACCAGACCGTGAAACCTGGTCATGACTGTTTGGAACAAAGCAGCTTCTTTAGTCTGCTCACAACGTAGCGACATCAATGATACTTTCTCCATATTAGGAGACGTTATGCACCTGAAGTATAGAGGTTGTCTGTGATGTGCATACTGGAATTTCAAGCTGAAATTGAAACTTTCTTGAGCCAACTTCAATCTCTATTGATTTGAAAGCATTGATGCATACATTTCCTGGTGATTTATTTTGCAAACCAGGGATTTGTTTGAGATGGCTCTCAAATATGTAATATTCAGGGCACTTATTGCACTTATATATTCGATGTTGATGGTTTAGGAGCATGAAAGGACATGCTGTAATGTTATTCATATTTGCCTTTTCACTTAACGCTGCAAATGTCCCTGCTGCGGGACTAATAAAGGAATTCTGATGCTGATTTTGATAGCTTGTGTATATATACTCAATGACAAGTGTATATTTGCAGTGGAGTCTCACACCAAGGAGCTAAAATGTTTTTGATCAAATGATCTTCGTGACCTGGCTGAGATGTAAGGGGTTAAACATTCTTTGTTACATTGTGGACCTAATGGCCTTGTTGGTATTTCCATTTTAGTATTCTAATTGTAGCCAATGGAAGCAAACATAGGAGTGATATGACA